TGGCCAGGCATGGATACACAAGCTTATCCCTAGGCTGGAGTTTCCTGGGATTCCTAGGATTTTTTACTTTTTGTCAAGTGTTACTGCTTCTTTAGTGATTTTAGGATAATATTGTAAAATCATACAATGGGCTGTCTCCCCACCAGCCTAGAACTCCTTCCTAGAGAGTTCTACCAGTCTTCTAGAAAACCAGGAACCAGGAGTAATCCAGAAAGCCCTTGCTCTATACCTGGGAAATGGCTCTGACTTGGTGGGGGTGGCAATATACACCTGGTAGTGACCAAGAGATATGAGAGAGGTACAGATGCTCAGTAACATTTGGCAAATGCTGGGAGATTCCTGGATCAGACTATCACTATGTAGGAAGACCTTGATTTCCGTGAAGCTCATAGCAACAATCATAGTCTCTCTCCACCAGACCTCTACTTCTGATGAAAGCCTTCTTGTTTCTTCTTGTAGTGGAAAGAGCTTAAGTTTTGGAATACGAGAAAACTGGGTTTGTGTTCCTAACCTGCCATCATATGATCTTAGGCAAGTCATTTAAACCCTTAGTCTTAATTTACTCACGTGTAAAAAGGTCATTAATATTTTTGCATGGTAGTCCTTAAGTCTAAATGAGATGAGGTGTGAGAAAATGTCAATCACCCTGTGTGCATTCAAGTGATCTCTTTCCTTCCTCTCTTTTGTCTTTCTTCGAACCTTTGGTAAAAGCAAGACCAAACATTTCCCTTCTGAGAAAAATATGTAAAAGCATTTGCTTCTCATATAAAAGAGCAGACAATGAGCCAAAGAGTCGATCTGGGAGTTTTACAAGGCTTTGTAATTGCATTATTGTTTCTGGTTTTGTGAAAACAATTGCATTTCTACATCAGATATCTGGACTTAGATACCAAATGTAAGTTGCAGCTGCTAAAAGAGTCTCATGTGGGCACAGATGAGCCCCAACTTCTTGTTTATCTCTTTCGTGTAAAAGCTTTATAGATAACATTTCTCGAGCTTTGGTAGATCTGTGCCATGGATATGTGTGAAGCTCCAAGATGGGTTCAGGAAACCTCGAATGTTCCATGTGAAGTTAGAAAATGTCATTATCTTGAGGGGCTCCTGTGGAAGGGACTGGTGGCCCTGCATTGGTGAGATCATAGCAGCTGCCAGCCAAAAAAAAGGTGGGGGGATATTTCCAGATGAAGGCACTTTAAAAAGAACAGCTGTCTGTTCTTTTGGGTGTCCTGAAAAGCTGCTCCATGATTCTGCTTTCAGTGAAACAGAATTTTAGGCCTATTTTTCCATAATCATTTGTAATTTGGGAGACAGCCTGGTATACACGAATGGTTGATGTACTAGAAGGTTCTCATCCAAGGTCTGCCACTTCCTAGGAACAGTGGCCTGTCCAAAGTCACCCAGTGCGAAAATGCCTGCAGTTATTATAATGACTCAACCCCTTGCCAGAAAACTTTTCTTATAATAAATATTTAAGCCATGCTGGATGGACACTAGAGATATAACAACTCCCAAGGTCTGTACTTAACATGACAGATTTTCACTTCATTTTACACACTTGCTTATTTTAAATAAGCAAGTTGGAAAGAAAGAATGATTCTCCTTTTTAAAGTCACATCAAATACCTCTCCTGAAGTTGAGGCTAGTGGCTTGCAGGGGGAACTGTTCCCTCACTTCTCTGCTCCTTACCTCACCCTCACCAGAAGCAGCTGGAGTCGGGGTGCAAAGAAAGACACATGCATGGGCCTGTGCATCTGTCCCTCTTTCCTGTCCCCAGCCTTTGCTGAATCCAGCCTATTCTTTTTCTTCCTTGTCACCCTTGGTCAGTTAATGCAGGGATTAAACTATAGGATCTTCAGAAGGAAATAGCAGAGTCATTTTTCCAGTCTCCTACTTATAGGACTGCTGTAAGTCCTGGAAGAGGAGAAGGCCTTGGATCTGAGATGCTTAGAGTAAAGCCTGGAGATGCTCTGTGATTAAGCCCTTCCCTGCCTCCCAGCACCACAGGGGGTGGAAGCATCGGGGAAAGTCAGTCATCAGCCCCCAGTCCCACGTATTCAGACATGTCTGCACAACATGACAAGCATCTGCAATTTACAAAGCAATGGATTCTGCATCTGTTTTTGGACACTGTTTAAGAAGGTCTTAGATAATTTCTTTCTTTTCTTTTCTTTTCTTTTCTTTTCTTTTCTTTTCTTTTCTTTTCTTTTCTTTTTCTTTTTTTTTTAAACTATAGCTCTCTTTTGTGCCAAGTTGCTTATACACCTATGGGCATGTCTCCAATGCCTTGGCTATTAAGGTCTTTAAGTGACAGCTTAATATATTTTTAAGATTGAGGGAGCCAACGACAATTCTGGAGGAGCCGTGTTTACGTTGGCTCGGCTCGCCAGGCGACGGGCCAGCACTTTTGCATGCTGCAGGAACTGGAGGTGAAAGCAGGAAGGGCTGAGCAGAGGGGAGGAGGAATCTGAAGGACAGGAAAGCCGGGAGGGACGTGATTTGGACAGGGTGCAGGGAGACGCCCAGCTGAACCTGCCCATGCACTGAGAGGCACCGTCGCTGAACGCTCCTCCGACATGGTGCTGAGGGCTGAAGAAAGCAGCTTTTGGAGCCAGTCCATTGGCACGCTCTCCGTCAACAGTGAACATGCTTTTAGGTCTCTTTGTTCTACTCCTTTCTAAATCCCCGCAAGTTCCTTGGCAGCCAAGGGGCCTGTATCCTAGTGGGAGTCAGCACACCTCTCAGCAGTCTCAGGTAAGGAGCCTGACACCTCTGGCCCTCAGTTTCCTCATCTAAAAAGTGAAAAGAGTTCCATGTCCCTTTCTGGGCCTACAATTCTATGGCTCCCGAGTGAAATGCTTGATGACCGGCCATCTCTGTTCTGTGTAAGCAGATTTGTATCTGTTGGGCTAGAATGAAGACAAGATCATTGGTCCTTGTTCTAGCTTAGTAAGGCTGAGCCATGGGCTTTGGTTCAGCTCAATGAAAATTAGTTGCTCTAGACAGCTATAAAGAAAAGTGTTTCCTTCATTCATCAAAAGACTCCTTTCAGTATTCACACATCCATGGAAATATACCACCGCCACTGACAGTAATAATAGCTTGCTCTACTTAAGGGCTCTAGTGCTAAGCTCCTTTATATACATCATCTCATTTAATAATCTGTCATCTTAGGATAGATACTGCTACTGTCTCCCCAATTTTCAGATGAGAACACAGACTCTGAAGTTAATTAGCTTGCCCAAGAACACACAGCTAGTAAGTGGTAGAGCTGGGGTTTGAACCCAGATCTGGTTACAAGAATACTAGTACCCAAAATTCTTAAATACACTTAATAAATAGTAGAAGAACAAATCCACAATAATGGGTGTTTCCGCCAAGAGAAATGGCACTTGCCTTCAAGGCCCTTTGTTACCAAGCAGTGTTGGCTATTTCATCATTCTCAGGGAATTCTATGTGCTATAAAACCTCTCTTTCCCAGTAGAAAAACAACTCAAGAGCATCCACCCAATGGGAGCACTTGATTTAGCACAGATGAGAGGAGGTAGGGAACTCTTTCCAAGCTCTGCCACTATGTTTGTGACCCATGGTGAGTCCCTCAGCCTGTCTGGGATTGGTTTAGATGACCTCTAAGACTACTCCAGTTTTTGAATTTTATGTTTTCTCTTGAAGACCTTTTTCTGACTTTCCAGCTGCTGGGGATTCCCCCCATCCCTTGGGGGCAGAGCAGTGGAGATAGCTTGTATGCCATTTAAAATCATTTCTCATTTTGTAAATAGGTCCCTTGCAGCTCTAAGAGTCTATGAAATTATTTTGAAATGCCTAAGTGTGATTATGCACCCCGAAGCTAAATGTTATAAGCCCCCCCCCGCCCACTGTTGCACATTTAAAAAGTAAATGTGCAATAAAAGCTTTTCAGCATGTTATTGATATGACATGATGTTCACTCGGCAAGGAGAGCTTCTCCCTCACTCCCTTCCCTTGACTTTTTGAGTTGAAGACATTGGTTAAGCTACAAAGTGGCGATCTTCCTACTGATTGTCACAGTCTCAAGAGGTAATACATATCTGCCCTTTCATCTCTACCCACCACATTCTTTCTCTAAGCCTGTAATTGGATCTAAATGAAAAATAAACCCTTTGCAGGCCGAGGAAGTTGACACCAGAGGGGACAAGAAGGAGAACATGTTCCACCTCTAACCTAGATAATCAGAGTCTCCTATGCAAAGAAAATAAAAACAAGATAGGGAATGGAGTCAAGAATATCGTAAGAACTTGGTACCGTGACAGATGGTTACTAGACTTACCGTGGAGATCACATCATAGGGTATATATAGGCTAGGGCAAAAGGAGGTTTAATTACAGTTGCTCGTATGGAAAATAATACAATAATTAATAACACAAGAATAAACTCGGTTCCATGTACCCACACTGTAACCTTCCTTTGCCCCACCCTGTAAATGTTGTCCACCTGAAACTAATATAATATTGTATGCCAACTGTACTTTAGTAAAAAAAGAAATCAAATTATAAAAGCAAAAAACAAAACAAAACAAGGCTTCCTCCAAGGGTGGCTTTGGCTTTCAGAGAGGAGGGGGGTTCCCGTGTCCCCCTTCTCATGCCATTCATTAACCAACAGCCAGCTTGTGCTAAAACCACCTGAAATCATCTGACTTTTCAGAAGGCAGTGGGACTCTGCCTCTTCAGCCTGGAACTCTTTTACTTCAATGAATTTGGGGAGGCAGTTCAGACACAAATATCCTGGTGCTACAAGTTAAAAAACATAATGCACGAAATGTACTGTCCCTGAACATTCTGGCCTTAGCTGAACGGATATTCAAAGGCTCACTAGTGGTTTACTGAGTCCCGCTGTGCGTGGCATGCTTTTTTGGAACAGAGATGAGCAAGAAAGGTTTGCCCTTAAGGAGTTTAGAAAGATGTGTAGAGAAATAAGAGCAGAGCATGCCTGACTCACTACTAGGTAGGAATTAATGGGTATCTTACCATGGTCTAAAGTGTTACGAGAATTCCATAGAAGGAGAGATGACTTGATTCTGCAAATAGTCTGGCAAATGCAAGGGGGCACGGTGCATTCCGGAGAAATGCCCGGATGAAGTCTGACTGGGTGTACACTTTCAGAGGGGTCCGCTGGACTCTGCGTGGGAGTCTGGCGCAGCTCAGCCGTGCAGTGGCGCAGCTATAAATCAGAGGCGTGAATGCTGCGCCTCTAAGTGGCTGGCTCGCATTTTTATTTTGATTCTCACATAGTTTCTTTTTTCTTCTTCTCTTGTTGTTCTACCCCACAGGTAATGGCAGCTGTCTGAGGACTTTGCCCTGTAAGTCTGAGTCCCCGGAAATCTGAGTTTAAAAATAACTGACTTGGGACTTCTTGGAGCACCTCTCTATTTAGTACCCAGGATGCTGCCTCCATTCACGAACCACTCGATGAAGCCAATTACATCTTTTTAAAAGGGGTGGGGGGAGACTGCTTTGGGAGATTAACCTACAGTGTCCCATTCCTGTTACTGGTGCTGCGAGGGAGGTGGGGGCTATCATCCTGGCATCGGAAACAGGGAAAAGGGGAGTCAGAAAAGTGGCGGTCAGCATGGTGCAGCTAAGGGGTGTCAGGGCCAGGGTTTCAGCGATAAGCCTTCCCTTATTCTCTGCTGCCTGCTGGCCCTGGGCCTCAGTTTCTCCATTGGCCTAGGATGTCTCTGCTCCCCTCCAGCTCGCGTCCTGTAAGCCTCCGGCCTGGGCCCTCTCCCAGCTGCATTCAGGTAAGAAACTGGTGGGCGTTGGAGCCATTGGCACAGCCGCAGGCCCCTCCTGCAGTAATTGCCCCGTGACCTTCTGGGCTCCTGGCCAGCCCTTCTTGAAAGGGAAGCATGCAGACCCCGGGGACAGAAATTAGTTCCCGTGTGCTGGAACCACTGCCACCCCCATCCCGGACTAAAGAAACGTGTGTGTGGAAAACACAAAACACTAGGGTGAAGGCAAAAGGGGGACTTCCTTGCTAGTACATAGCACATGCCAGTCCCCCACCGCGCAAGCCCCCCAACCATCACCTCAGTCTCTGGAGGGGGAAGGGAGAGAGG